TTTCCACTCATTGTCTTGTCATTGTGTCTTCTTGTTTCATCTTATTGTCTCTCCTCATTGCCCCTTTCGTAATTTCTCCTCAGTTCTCCTCTCCTTTCTTTGCAATTCATCTCTTCTTTTCTTTATCGGCCCTTTTCTCTTCTTTCATTTTCTCCTCTCCTTTTTATCTATCCTCTTTGCCTCCCTTCATATGCGGAAACAGTTGGCATTAGATGTATCATTTTTATATATGTACGATTCGATAAAAAGAACATTGCAGTGGTTTTATTAGATATATGTAAACTTCCATCTTTCTAAATGCCATCACGTATAATCATGTACTAAAACATATAGAAAAGCATATTCTTAATGCTCTTCATAACTGACATAACTGACTCTGAGGCTGATTCAGGAGATAAATATGAAAATTATAATATTAGCGGTAATAATTTTTCCTCTCAGTATGCCTTATGTAGCTAAACGAGAGCAACACTACTCTACAAATTACGTCTTTGCTGAGATGATAATGACAGTACCAAATATAACAGAAAACAACAACAAAAACATGAGTGCAGATAGTATTTGCAGACTGAACCTTCAAATTACTTTTAACACTGCTTAAAGAACAACATCTGTCTCTGCAAAACTGCTTCTGTGAGGGAGAGACACACACAAACAAACACATATACACATTCCTGCTCCATTACAGGTATTTTACATCACATAACATAATTAAGCAACAAATAACTGTGACCCTGAAAATAACATTATGAGAAACATGTCTCTTTCAGACGTATTCAATGTAAAAGGAAAGGATGCTTAAGGTACAAGCAGCTTCACACTCGCTTTTCTTCACACATACTGAAATGGCAACAGCGTCAAAACCTCTGCTACATTTGAGGTACGGGAAGAAAACTCAATAAATTTTTCACGAAAGAAGAGGAAGGAAAGAGAGAGAGAGAGAGAGAAAGATGAGAGAGGTTCGATAAAAGTAGCTCTGTTAGGAGGTGTGTGCAGATGGGATGACGACTACTTACAGAACAAGAATGAGTCACTTCAAATGCTAAGAGGCAATACGGTGCATAAAAAATACAAAAAGAAGGCAAAGAAAGAAAGAGCTGCCTTTATATTTTAAAAGTTCGTTAATTACTTTTTGAATGTTTTTATTCAATTTTATTATTACTTTGAATTATAAATTACCACATTACCCACAATAAATACGTTTAAGGCAAATATTTAATTTTAAAACATTTTAATTTCCTGTTTCATTTTACATTTTGGGGGTATGTAAAGTTGAATAATTTTCTATGAATATTTGTTGTTCTAAATAACAAAACCATCTGAAACCGATTTGACCAACCACAGAAAGTCTGCATTTCTAAGAACTTAGCACTTAGGTTTCAAACTGATATTTCTTAAGGTTTCTTTATTTTGGACATTTATTTGTCACTGACCATATTATGGCGACCTTATTTTTTTCTTTCTCTCCTTTTATTGTGCATATTGCTGCATTGGTAGTGTAAATGCAATATAAAAGAAAGACTACTGTACATATAAAATAATAAAAACATCTGTTTTATAAAAGAAAGAAGATGAATCTGTGACAATTGAAGACCTCTAGGTTTTGTATAAGCTGTGCATGTTATGACAAATATCAGACATCACAGATCTGACACCTCTGTGCTGGATGAAATTGTGGAGTGACACAAACAGGAATATGTTTTGTAATTGTGTTTCCTAGATCGTAACAAACTCTTTTCCTTCCTCTGCTAAAGCCTGAGCTCAGTTTTTCCTCTCTCTAGCATTTGTTAACAGGGAGGAGTGATTATCTAATCAGTGTAATTAGTGGGTAATTAAAGTTTGAAGATTTGCGCAAGTTGTTTATTTCAGTGGCTTAACTGTCTCAAGAAAGAAACAAAGCACACACACTGTGTCCTCTACTAAAGATTAATGCAAGCTAATATATAGACTGATCAATTAAAGATGACAGGAAGGATATTTAATGCTTGCAAGACAGGGTGTTTTTAGCTAACCTAACTTAAAAAGACATATAATAAAAGACACAGTACGTTTTACAGTGTTGTGCTGTACACTGTACACTGCTGTGCATTGCATCCGATCCCAGCCCGAAATAGTGACCTTGGCCTGGGTGAGATTGACAGGCCAAAGTGATGTCCTTTTTTAATTGGGGTCTCCTTCACCTCATATTTGATAGACTTCCTGTGCTTTATCAGCAGGCAAATGTTCAGCAATCCATGTTTTCCTTATCTCTGTTTGCAGAGGTTTAGAGCACATGTTCTGATTCTTGCCTCCAAAACTGATCAAACATACACATTCAAACACATATACATCTAACACAAAGTGGTCCTCACTGCAGAACCTGCAGGGTCTTTCAATCTGCCGGCAATTTGTGTCGACAAAAGAGCAGGAAGTCATTTGTTCAATTGTCGATCAATTGTTTAATAAGAACTGCTGAATTGAGGCAACATATTGAGTAGAAAGTTGAGTAGAGTTTAAATGCAAATGTGCAAATATGCACTGTGTGTGCAAGTGAGATTAAAAAGTGTCTAAATCATTCATTTTTCTGAAGTAACACTGTCCAATGGCAAAAGCAGTTGGTAAAGTTTCAGAGCCAATCGAAATGCAGTGAAAAGTCATGAGAGGAGGCTCATTACCCTGTCAATGCAATAACGCCTACATTTACAAACGGTCCACAAATCGGCTCAAATGGATAAACTTTTGGAAATGGGTGAACTAATTACAGAGTAAACAACTCACCCACTGAGATATTATCAATTTCACTTAAAATGACTTGACACATGAAATGATCTGTAAGTCAGTCTTTTTTTCTGTGAGCACTTAGCTCTTTTAAATTAGAGCTGCAATCATTTTGACACGTGCAATGTTTACAGAGGATTTGACGACTAATGGACTGAAAGGAAAGTGACTAGCCAAAAAAACTGTCGTTTTTATTGAAAATGTATAAAATGTTAAAAATACATACAAATCTGGAAATGTTTAAAAATCCAAAAATGATAGGACTGTGTGATTTGATTTTATTAAATAGTATTTTAACATAAGCTTACAAAAATAATATTTTATTGGCTACATTTGTTTAAGTTTAATTTACTAATGTTTGCACTTGTCAAATTACTGGTATTTGCGCCATTATTTAACACCCCAAACAAAGCATGTCTTAAAGCAGGCGGTAATTTGCGCTGCTCTTGGTAGATTGCGCTGGTCATTATGGAAATGATCTGACTGCGTCTGTGTTCTTTAATGTGCACATTGTTAGTAAATCACCCACAGAATTTCCCCTCCCACCGGCGCTTTTATGGAATTGCACTTTAACGCTAATTTGCCCTGTTTAGTAAATCTGGCCCTAATACTATATTCGGCAAGGATGCAATAAATTGATCAAAGATCAATAAAAGATATTTTGTTATCTCTTCTCAACATTGATAATAATAAGAAATCACCAAATCAGCATATTAGAATGATTTCTTAAGGATCATGTGACACTGAAGACTGGAGTAATGATGTAATAATGCATCACAGGAATAAATTACATTTTAAAAATATATTAATATAGAAAACAGTTATTTTAAATTGTAAAAATAATGAGTTTTTGATCAAATAAATGAGCATAAGAAACATATTTTAAAATATTCAACAACTGTCCAGACCTTAACATTTTTGAATGGTAGTGTACATATGTAATTGTATAAGTAAAAAAAAAGATCTATTTTAAGCTATATGTCTCATTACCATACACTACTGGAGTAAATACATTAAAATATTTCAGAACCAGGGATTAGAATCAGATTGGACAGGACCTATTTTCACGAAGACATTTTGTTGGCAAGGACAGAGATAAGGATAAGGCAAGATGGTGGGCTGAGTCTGGGCAGGTATTACCCTGACAAATACATTTGTTGGAAAGTAACGGTTTCCACCCACCCATTTGGTTTCCCAGATCCACATATCTCACACTCTTACACAACATCCCCCATACACACATACATTTTCATCTGTCTCTTAAAATATCCACTCAAAAGTAAATAACCCCCATTTTGTTTGCATTACTGCTTATACTCCTCAAGAGCTCAGGAACATTTACTGTTCTAAAAGCTGAAATAGATATAAATAAAAGAGACCAAAAAGGGTCACCGCAGGGCTGGCCGCCACAACCAAAGCAAACAAACCCTAATTAGTTGTTATCAGATAGGTAATGCATCTGAACACTGGAGTCAAAGAAGCCATCCCTACCTCTTCCATTTGAGCATATTTACCAGTGAGACGTGAAGGACATGCCACACATTTAGGACCCCTTGTCCTGGGCTCAAATTGAGCAGCTTTGCGTGTCAGAACCAGAAGCTTGTTCTGGGTCAGTGATTGGTCAACAGCTGTTCACAGAGAGGGAGTTCAAGGCATTCATCTGTCAACCAATCACAGCCACAGGTGCACCTGGCCAATTAAACGTGGAGGAAAGAGAGAAAGAGAGAGAGAGAAAGCAAGAGAAAAAGTGAAAAGATAAGAAAAAGAAAGAATGATAAGACGGGTGTAAAGAGAGCCTGTGAGAGACAGAAGAAAAGAAACACAGAAATAGAAAAGGAGTCACAAGATAAGAAGTAGGGGAGAGAGAGGTGAGAAAGAGAGAGCGAGTAACAGAAGAAGAGAGCATGTGGCGCGCAGACAGAGGAGCGGAGAGAATGAGAGCGCTCTCTCACCCCATCTTCACAGACAGCAGCTAATGAACTAAGAGAGCGAGAGACGGCACGTATAAAACTAGAGATCCGCTACCTGAGGAAACTTTCTGACACCTACAAGACCGTCAGAGAACATCATTGGGTTGCACACAGAAAAAAAGAGCCCAGCTGGAAGATGCACTTCTCTCATGGAGAATAACGTAAATGCTGAGACAATGGGAGACTGATAGGACACTCTTTTGACCTCTGCGCTGACACCTTGTAGGATGGAATAACGGAAATTGGAATGGAAAATTCTGCATGGAAATTTCTAAAGATTTCCTGTGACAGTTTTTTGTCCGTTTTCAGCCTCGAGCTTCAGGTAAGAACATTTGACTTTTTCTTTTTTAATAACTGTGATGTTTTTTTCTTTACCTGTATGTAAGACTCAACCTAAACAAACAACTAAATGAGGCAAACAAGATAAGATAAATAGCGGTCTATTCGTGTTAGATTTTACATCTTCGTTTTGGGTGAACCAGAAACATTTGCATTTTAAATTATGCAAATGACAAACAAAATTAATGAATATGAATGAGCACAGACTTATCTGCACTGAATTGAGACAGGGCTCAGGGTGTATCAGTACAAAGCTTTTCTGCTTGAGCGAATCCTTCCTTTTTTCTGCATTTGATCACATCTACAAATGACAGCAATAGCCATGACCTGAACCAAAACACTGGAAAAGTGACAACCAAATTAAGCTGTTATCCTCAGACTGTGCATAGCTGATATTTTGCTATTTATATTTTCTAAAATATTATAAAATCTCATAACAATACAAATGACATATTAATAATTCTATAATGAGTATATGTATGCACACACACACACACACACACACACACACACATATATATATATATATATATATATATTCTATTGTGAGTACACTTCTATTATATATATATATATATATATATATATATATATATAATAGTAGATTTATGCACGTAAAGAAAAACTCAGAAAAACTGCACACAAATGTAAGATAACAAAAAGGAAAAAAATCTAAACCAAATGAATAGAGACAATAATTACATTAAATATATAAATTGTTTTAATAATGAATTAAAACATAAATTACTTGTCAACAGGTGTTTTATTATTATTATTTTTATTATTTTTATTATTTTGTTTTATATTTAAATTAAAGCTACTACATTACACAATTTCTCTTTATCAGCAGGTGTTATAATGTGAAAAAGGAATATTTTTATTGAACTGAAAATGAGAAACTGAAATCTGGTGAAAGTTTTTTTTTATTTTTATTCCTTTTGTCTAACTGAATAAAGCAATTATTTTAATCAGTGAACCTTGTACCCTTTACTAAATCTAAACCTACACAGAGGTTTCATTCCAAACAACTCAGCATAACTATCTTACGTTTTGCCTAATTGGTGGCTAATTTGTACTCATTCATACATTTTTGTAAAATCTGCTTACACTACACTGACAGGTTTAAGTTAGACCTTCATGCTTAATTTTTTCAAAAGAATCACATACAAAACCGCCAACTCGTAAAATACTTACATTTTCTCATGAGATTGGGTTGGATCATTAACACCGCCCATATGAAGTACATATTGCACACAGTGCTCTGAAATGAGCATGAGTTTTAGAAACCATAGCAACTAACTCAACACACACACACATACGGACACACACAGTGTCCAACCGTGGGTCCAGTGCCAGCTCAATCTTTCCCCTCTGCCCCCCACCGCTGTCATGCTGTTGTTGCTGTGCACACAGCTGGTCAAAAAGACACATTTAGGTTGTCATTTCCTCTGGTGACGGAAACTCAGTGGAGCGTATCCAACAGAACCACGCTGGTGGAACGAGACAGGTGGCTGTAATGGAGTCCGGGCTGTTTAGCACCTGTTGCTCAAGACATGCAAACAGCCTTCAAAGAAACGCTCTGACAACATGTCAGCATTCACTATGAATCTCACACCTCTGCTCGGCATCTGCAGAACATTGATCATTCATCCGGTGTTCATCCAATGACCCGTTGAGGAACCTGTGATTTTTAATTACATCTAGAGTCTGGCTATGCCACCCTCCCTGAAAAGTTATGGTTCTCTTCACGCAATTGGGTAAGAAATACAGACCATTAAATTCCTGGTGACCATCTGGCACTGAAATCCACAGGTTCGTTGCTATGGTACTGCGGACCGCAAGTGGGCGGACTTTTTATTTATGGCCCACCCTACCCTCATACCAGCCCCCTCCTTCAATTGTGTAATATACACAATTATGCTACATGTCTGAAGAATCTCTTGAGAGGTGCAGGAAGTAGATCAGTATGCTATTTCAGGCCCTTGGTGACGACTGTCAAACGCCCCTCAGCAATGTGGGTTGAGAATAAATTACATCATTACCATATGCTTGAGTGTGAAATACACTGGTCAACTATACAATATATGAAAATATGCATAAAACTTTAGCCGTATGGAGAGCCCAAGGTCAGGGCTGAGGTCAGGAATGAACAAAACACAATCATTAGAGAATTTGCACTGTGGACACATAGGTTTGTTTTTGTAATTTTTTATTGACTGATTTTTGCCAAGAAGGATGTGCGCCAAGAGAGCATCTTTCGGTCTTGGAACAACAGTCCTGTCGTCCACTGTCTAATCCTATCCCTAACCTGAACTCAATTCTTAACCATCAGTTTTGGGAACTGTCTTTGAAATTGTAGCTTACTACATTTATAACTGAAAAAGGTTTTTAAAAAGTTTAAAAGTGTTTAAGTAGCTAACTACATTTAAGTAATTTAAGCTGGAAGTATGTTTTTATAAATAAAAGTGATGTAATTAATAGGGGTGTAAGAAAATATCGATACACGTGAGTATCGCGATATTTTGTTTGGCGATACTGTATCGATTCTCAAAAACGCAATATCGATATAAAAAAAAATGTACACAAGATTCATGGCCATTGTTTCATTTTGAGTTTATATCCTGACCGCTAGATAGCACTCTTCTTAACTCTTAACTTAAACAGTGACAACGTGTGTGTTCCGCTCCTGCAAGGTTTGTCCAGTCCTGCCCGCTCCCGCAAACATTCTAATATTGCATATAATTTTCGCATATCAGGGAGCCGCTATCAATGGGGAGTATTTAAATCTCTTTTGAATGAGCGCTTGCACTGTTCACTTTCACTTTCGATTTCGCGATCACGTGCACTCTGAGTAAAGGGAACGCATCTTACGATATAAATTGTCTTTTGTTTATTATTATTTTGTGCTGTATTGTTGGTTACTGTGTTTTTTCTGTTTCAAAAGCCAGCAATAAATAACACTTTAATATCTAAAAAGTGTTCATGTGATTTTATACATTAGTAATGTTGGGAAATTAATAAATGCATAATAATCGCCATAATCGTAAAACCGTGATTATTCCTCAGACAATAATCATACCAACAAAATCTATAATCGTTGCATCCCTACTCTCGACCCATGATAAGTCAAATCTGACTCCTGCAAGCACTTAATTGTTCTCCCTTCACTCGTACTGCACAAAAAGTGGTTCTATAGCGTTGAATGTTACAGGGACAGATTAATGCAAATGCAGATGCCAGTGTTCTGGTTAATATATATATATGTATGTATGTATATAAATGGATTTTTCTTTGCTAAGGTTTGCATATGGTGGTGTGTTCTAAATGACAGTTTTCCTAAAATTATGTCCTATTCTCCTATTCCTAAAATAAGAAATATCCCAATATATCATCTTGCTTACAGTATTGCAATATATCGCAACATATCGTATCGCAACCCCTGTATCATGATACGTATTGTATCGCCAGATTCTTGCCGATACACAGCCCTAGTAATTAATAATTTGATGTATTTTTGAATTTTTGAACTGAATTTGTTCTAAATACAATAACAAAAGAGTCTGTTAATTTACATTAACCATCTGAACGAATCGATTCACTAGAAATCATAATCAGACTTTCCAGTTCTATATATGAGAAAGAGAGGATAATTTAGGATGAAACAATTCACTATAATGAATTCTAGTGCTACATATGATAGAAAGAAAGAATCATTTAGGATTAATTTACGATGAACGAATCAGACTTTTCAACCCTATATGTGAGAGAGAATGTGTGTGTGTGTGAGAGAGAAGATCATTTAGGATTCACTTGAACAAATCAGATTAAATGCACTGAATAAGACCTTTCAGTGATACAGTACAAATGAAAAAGAAACAATAATTTCTGATTCACTAGCATGAATCAGATTCACTACAATGAATCAGACTTTTTAGCTCTACATATCGGAGAGAGAAAATATAATTTAGGATTCACTTGAATGAATCAGATTCACTACAATAAATCAGAATTTCTAGCACTACATGTCGGAGAGAAAATATAATTTAGGATTCACTTGAATGAATCAGATTCAATGACTTGAATCAGACCTTTCAGTGCTACAGTACAAATAAAAAGAAAGGATAATTTGGGATTCACTAGCATGAATCAGATTCTCTACAATGAATCAGACCTTTCAGCACTATATTTGTGAGAGAGAATAAGAGGATCATTTAAGAATGACTAGAATAAGTCACAATAAATTAAATTACAATGACTACAATGAATCAGACTTTTCAGTGCTATAAATGTGAGAATGAAAGGATCATTTAGGACCGACCAGAATGAATCAGGATAAATCAGATTCACTACAATGAATCAGACCTTTCAGCATTATATATGAGAAAGTGGTGATTCACAGTTAATCAGATTTTCCAAAGCTACATATGAGAGAGAGAGAGAGAGTGGACAATTTACAGTAGATGAGCATGTTTGATTATTCCCTCAGCTCAGACAAATTAAAAAAGCATAGACATGAGTGGATAAGTTTAAACCGGGGATCTACAAGGTGCTTCTTTTGAACTTAGTTAGAGTTAAAACAGAGCTGAATCTAAATCCTGGTTGAAAGGGCAACTCACGTTGTTGGGTGCCAGGTCTGTAAATCCATTGAGAAGCCGAGATCAAGCAGGAAAAGGTCAATCATATCTTGTACTTATAAGCCACTTGGCTCCATCTGGCACAAAGCCGAGGGGGACGTAAATACCTGGCGCTGGGAAACGCTGAAGCTGGGGTGTTTGATAGTAATCTGACCGTGGTGAAGAGAGTCTGATGTGAGTGTTTGAGTGTGATAGAGAAGAATTCACTCATTCAAGTGCCATCCTAGCAGATGGTTCCTACCTCGCAGCAGGCGCCGCTCTCATGGAGTAAAGCAGAAAATGGGGCCATGATGAAGAGGGTCAAGATTGGTTAAAGAAAAAGAAGGAATTCATGTCATCAATCTAGCCC